ATGACATGAATCGCAGAGGCATTCGTGTGAGACCGGTGTCCATGGCCAACTTCCGCAATGCATCGCGCCCGAGATGCCCTAGCCATCTCCTAGCCGCCCCCAGTCTTGCGAGAAACGCGAAACATTGCATGATGCTGCAACGATGCTCTACTTGTTCCTTGCGCTGCATTTGCACACTGCATGCTGCGGCTCTGGACCGTGGGGCCACGAAACCGCTGATGTTGCCGATGTCGCCGTGCGAGGCTCGAGGCAGTCTTGTTCTTGCATGCTCTGCTGAGTGACCTTCTCTACTGCATGCTCTCTGGCAGTGTGGCAGGGACGCCTGAAGGCATGTCTCTCGCTCGTCATCATGTTTATCCCATGCGTGCCCTCATCCGAAAATCTGACTGTGAAGCTTTGCCTTGCAGAAAGCTGCCCTCTCTCCCCAGGCCGAACCACGCGTGACCTCATGACCTCGAGCAAAAGCTTGCTTCGATCACCCCCCACTGTGCAGCTACCCGGTGTGAGAGCCATCTTGCTGTCGGACACATACTTGGATACTTACAGAACTCTCCGCAGAATTCTCTGGGGGTGCAGTCTAAGATACTCGGTGGGACTGTTGCTGTTGCTGAGCAGTCTTTTGCACTTTTGGGGATGGACCACCTGCGCTTTTGGTGGTGGGTGCGCGTTTCAGGGATCGTCGGCGGGACTCTTGCAGCATTCTCTGGGGGCGCGCATGCCTGGGGTATACTCGGCGGCGGGACATTCTGCGGCCGCATGACGACGGCAGAACTCTGCGGGATTCTGAAATGCTCGGCAGGACCTCCTGCGGGCTTTTTCATGGGCAGGCACTTCAGACTCTTGCAGGGTTCTGTGGGGGTAGAACGGCGGGACCTTCTGCGCTTCTTTGGTTGGGGGGGGGGGGGGTGGGCATTCCCAGAACTACTCCGCCGGACACCTGCCTGATTCTCTGGGGATGCTCAGCGGGGCTTTCTGCCTTCTCGGAGCACGCCATTCGATATTCGATGGGAGCTTCTGCTTTAGTTTATGTGTATGCAACGGAGCCTACTGGCCAGTGACTGAGAGCATTCAATTTGCACATCCTGAAAGAGACAGAACAGCCTTCCAGTGCAAAGGCAGGATGCGAAATGAGTTGTGGCCTCAGCAGATTTTCATCGATGTCCTGAAAACTGTGTGAAAAGGCATCCTCAGGCCCACAGCTTGAGCACACGCTATGCGATATGTTGCAAATGAGACTTTGGTGCAGCACGCAGAACACATGCACAAAAAATTGCCTGACAAAGGGTGCCCCGACCCCAACACCAACATGCAAAATGCATAAACAATAAAGTGCGCTTGAGGTGGCGCGGGGCGGGGGCTCGCGGTCACGGGGCTCTTCCAGTCCTTGTTTTTAATGTTGAAATCTGCGTCTTTGTTTTGCTCGCCAGCCTTGTCAGTGCGTGCACATGACATGCTTGAGCACACATCCGAGCACGGACGAGCATTTCATGTGAACGCACTCGGCGGACCGACAGCTACAGTGCTTCCACGAAGACCTGGGCCATGGCTCGGCACGAGCGGTGGGACAGCGGCTGGTCCGGCTGGACCGGAAACTGGTGGGGTGAGACAGGCCGGCTTCTCATTCGTGCATGTTCCCTGATGCTGAACCTTCTTGCGTCAGGTGAAGCCTCGGACACCAGCTGGTCCCAAGTTCAGCTCAAGCGATGGGGCCACGATGAAGGCCAGTGTAGGGTTTAGGTTCCTGATCCACTTTCCTGGTCTGGGGGCGGTGGTCCCAGCGTTGTTGTGCGGGGGGGCGGGTGTTGTGACAAGGCCAGTCATGGCACCAAAGACAAGAGCGCCACTTTGAAGGCCGTTTGAGTATTGTTGCGATGCTTTATCGCGCGTTTTTGCCGGGGTTGTTTTGTGTGTGGTCGGCTGATTCAGCCAGGTTCGTGGGCATTGCTGTCTCAGAGCAAGGACTAAATCCCAAACCCTAGACTACGAACCCTTTCTTGCCCAGCTGGACCGTGGGCTACAGGTGCTTGGCACGAGCACCGCAGCGGAAGGTCCTCCTGGCATCAGGATCAAGGCCTCGTAGTACAGACAGTACACATGGCTTGCTTCTCTATAAAAAGTATTTGATAACGCGAGTCCCAAAGCCTCCAGAAAAAATCCAGAAGATGTTAGTGACCTGCAGGAGTTCCACACACTTCCACAACACTCCAGGCGTAGGAGTCATTTGAAAAAGGAGGCCTCCAGGATCCTTTCGGGGCAAAGCCATGCGAATCCGGACATGTCCGGACCGAGACCGAGGAGGTCCCGTCCGCGGAATCGCAAGCAAAAGCAGCAGGAGTCGAGCCCAACACACCTTCGTAGAAGTGTGCCCCAGCTGCTCATAAAAGGAGGGGGTTTCGACGGATACAAATGCAAAGCAAAGTCATTTTTGATTGTTGGGCTTGGTTCCAGTTCTGGGGCTTCGCCCGTCGCCGCTCTATGGCTGCAGGTTACTGGGAAGGGCGCGATGGAAGGGCCTCTTGGCGCCAGGATCAAGGCCATGCAGGGGTTTGAGTGTAGTGACATCATGTGACATCTCTCACGATCTTGGCCATGCTTTTGGCAATCATGCGCGGACGCTTGTCATGCAGGAACCCTTTTTGTACAGCCCACGGCAATCGCAGCGCCTGATCGGAGGTGTCTGGCAGAGCTGGAAGGACTGGTCCAGCAAGGAAGACCAAGGCGCCGCGCAGCGTGGGTTCAAGGGGCAGCTTTCACCATGTGGTGAGCTTTTCGTGATGCAACGCTTGCACCTGCAGGTGCCTGGCAACACAACAAAGACTGGCACGTGGAGGGATCCTCGCCAAGCAGCCAGGATGAAGGCCGCTTGTTTTGAGGGACTCACATGCTCACATCACGCCGTGCATCGCCAACACAGCAACCAATGCCGCACGTGTGCAGGTTCGAGTAACTCTTATACGCCGGGCGAACAGAAGCCGGTAGGCCGGTGTGTGCTTCTTTGACTGCAGGATGCTGACGTGCGATGCGTGCAACATGTGCCCGTAGGTAGCCCTCGCAAGCCTCGCGCCAAAGTGAAGTCTCGGCTCTTCGCCACCGCTTTGGCAGCCACCGTTCAACCTTCGAGGTTGGTCTGCTCATGCTCCGGTGCATCTGGGATGAAAGCCTCGCTCCTTCAGTCAAGAATCCCCGACCAGGTGCCGTCGGCCACAACCCTTGGAGCAGTCGCCGTCGGAGCCTGTGGTTGAGGAGAAGGAGCTGGCGGAGCAGGCCGAGCCGGTTGCTGAGCCCGTGCAAGCAGTGGAGGTCCAGCCAAAGCGCTGGGCACCCTGCTTCAGAGAGAGCGACGTGACGATGGGATACGGGATGGGTCGTGTGGACCCGTTTTCCGTGGGCTACGCCTGTCGAGACATCCCAGACAGACAGCCCGAGGGTCGCAACGTCAACAAGCCGCTCAACAGGGTCTGGCAAGAGGTGAAGGTGAACCAGTGCGAGGACATCTGCTACCTCGGCTACGAGCACCCCATCGAGGTGTTTCGAGCCGTGTCCGCCGAGGGACAGGAGCAACTGTTCACCATTCAAGGGTGGAAGCTGCAGCTCCTCCAAGTGGCGGCCTTGGCGAGGCACCCCAAGAAGGCCATTATCCAACCCAAGTTTGTCTTGGAGGAAGCGGACATCGGAGCGATTCTGGCCGAAGCCGATATACCCGAGGATTTCAATACGGTGCACATCGTCGGCGAGGATGGCGTCCGGCCTTTCTCCTGGGAGACCATCGTGAAACAAAAGCGCGCGAAGCCAAAGGCTTGACGGCGCAGGCTTCGAACTGCGAAGCGGGTGTCACCGAAAAAGCCGGCCGCTCTCGACTTTCAAGATTTCTGTGACTTTGGCGTGGTGCCCTGAAGCACGATGCGGGCAATGCGTGGATCATCATGTGAGGTCGGCTTTAGCTGGCATGCCCAAATCTCCAATGATTGCCGGTTTCGACAGCGCACCAGGATACTCGTATGAGTGGAAGCGCGCTAGGTTTTCTTTTCCAACCACGGTGCTTGTTTGGGCTGGGGGGGGGTGGGGGTGGGCACTCCAGAACTACTCCGCGGGACACCTGCGCGATTCTCTGGGGATGCTCAGCGGGACTTTCCTTCTCGGATCTTGGAAGGGAGCTTCTGCTTTGATTCTTTTTGTACGCACTGGAACCTGCTGGCCAGTGACTGAGAGCATACAATTTGCACATCCTGCAAGAAAAGAGCAGCCTTCCAGGGCAAAGTTAGGATGCGACAGGTGGCCTTAGCAGATTTTCGTCGATGTCCTTCAAATTGTACGGCATCCTCAGGCCCACAGCTTGAGCACGCGCTATGCGACATTTGGCAAATGAGATTTAGGTGCAACACGCGTAACACAAGCTAAAACAAAGTGCCCGACAAAGGGTGCCCGACCCCAACATGCAAAATGCATAAACAATAAAGTGCGCTTGAGGTGGCGCGGGGCGGGGGCTCGCGGTCACGGGGCTCTTCCAGTCCTTGTTTTTAATGTTGAAATCTGCGTCTTTGTTTTGCTCGCCAGCCTTGTCAGTGCGTGCACATGACATGCTTGAGCACACATCCGAGCACGGACGAGCATTTCATGTGAACGCACTCGGCGGACCGACAGCTACAGTGCTTCCACGAAGACCTGGGCCATGGCTCGGCACGAGCGGTGGGACAGCGGCTGGTCCGGCTGGACCGGAAACTGGTGGGGTGAGACAGGCCGGCTTCTCATTCGTGCATGTTCCCTGATGCTGAACCTTCTTGCGTCAGGTGAAGCCTCGGACACCAGCTGGTCCCAAGTTCAGCTCAAGCGATGGGGCCACGATGAAGGCCAGTGTAGGGTTTAGGTTCCTGATCCACTTTCCTGGTCTGGGGGCGGTGGTCCCAGTTGTGCGGGGGGGCGGGTGTTGTGACAAGGCCAGTCATGGCACCAAAGACAAGAGCGCCACTTTGAAGGCCGTTTGAGTATTGTTGCGATGCTTTATCGCGCGTTTTTGCCGGGGTTGTTTTGTGTGTGTGCTGATTCAGCCAGGTTCGTGGGCATTGCTGTCTCAGAGCAAGGACTAAATCCCAAACCCTAGACTACGAACCCTTTCTTGCCCAGCTGGACCGTGGGCTACAGGTGCTTGGCACGAGCACCGCAGCGGAAGGTCCTCCTGGCATCAGGATCAAGGCCTCGTAGTACAGACAGTACACATGGCTTGCTTCTCTATAAAAAGTATTTGATAACGCGAGTCCCAAAGCCTCCAGAAAAAATCCAGAAGATGTTAGTGACCTGCAGGAGTTCCACACACTTCCACAACACTCCAGGCGTAGGAGTCATTTGAAAAAGGAGGCCTCCAGGATCCTTTCGGGGCAAAGCCATGCGAATCCGGACATGTCCGGACCGAGACCGAGGAGGTCCCGTCCGCGGAATCGCAAGCAAAAGCAGCAGGAGTCGAGCCCAACAAACGTTCCTAGAAGTGTTCCCCAGCTGCTCATAAAAGGAGGGGTTTCGACGGATACAAAGTTGACATGCAAAGCAAGGTCATTTTTGGTTGTTTGATTGTCGAACATGTGGGCTTGGTTCCAGTTCCGGGGCTTCGCCTTCGTCGCCGCATGTCGCCGCTCTATGCTGCTCTATGGCTGCAGGTTACTGGCACGGGCGCGATGGAAGGGCCTCTTGGCGCCAGGATCAAGGCCGTGCGGGGGTTTGAGTGTAGTGACATCAGGTGACATCTCTGACGATCTTGGGCATGCTTCGCAATCATGCGCGGACGCTTGTCATGCCGCGATCTTTTTTGTTACAGCCCACGGCAATCGCCGCGCCTGATCGGAGGTGTCTGGCAGAGCTGGAAGGACTGGTCCAGCAAGGAAGACCAAGGCGCCGCGCAGCGTGGGTTCAAGGGGCGGCTTTCACCATGTGGTGAGCTTTTCGTGATACAGCGCTTGCACCTGCAGGTGCCTGGCAACACAACAAAGACTGGCACGTGGAGGGATCCTCGCCAAGCAGCCAGGATGAAGGCCACTTGTTTTGAGGGACTCACATGCTCACATCACGCCGTGCATCGCCAACACAGCAACCAATGCCGCACGTGTGCAGGTTCGAGTAACTCTTATACGCCGGGCGAACAGAAGCCGGTAGGCCGGTGTGTGCTTCTTTGACTGCAGGATGCTGACGTGCGATGCGTGCAACATGTGCCCGTAGGTAGCCCTCGCAAGCCTCGCGCCAAAGTGAAGTCTCGGCTCTTCGCCACCGCTTTGGCAGCCACCGTTCAACCTTCGAGGTTGGTCTGCTCATGCTCCGGTGCATCTGGGATGAAAGCCTCGCTCCTTCAGTCAAGAATCCCCGACCAGGTGCCGTCGGCCACAACCCTTGGAGCAGTCGCCGTCGGAGCCTGTGGTTGAGGAGAAGGAGCTGGCGGAGCAGGCCGAGCCGGTTGCTGAGCCCGTGCAAGCAGTGGAGGTCCAGCCAAAGCGCTGGGCACCCTGCTTCAGAGAGAGCGACGTGACGATGGGATACGGGATGGGTCGTGTGGACCCGTTTTCCGTGGGCTACGCCTGTCGAGACATCCCAGACAGACAGCCCGAGGGTCGCAACGTCAACAAGCCGCTCAACAGGGTCTGGCAAGAGGTGAAGGTGAACCAGTGCGAGGACATCTGCTACCTCGGCTACGAGCACCCCATCGAGGTGTTTCGAGCCGTGTCCGCCGAGGGACAGGAGCAACTGTTCACCACTCAAGGGTGGAAGCTGCAGCTCCTCCAAGTGGCGGCCTTGGCGAGGCACCCCAAGAAGGCCATTATCCAACCCAAGTTTGTCTTGGAGGAAGCGGACATCGGAGCGATTCTGGCCGAAGCCGATGTACCCGAGGATTTCAATACGGTGCACATCGTCGGCGAGGATGGCGTCCGGCCTTTCTCCTGGGAGACCATCGTGAAACAAAAGCGCGCGAAGCCAAAGGCTTGACGGCGCAGGCTTCGAACTGCGAAGCGGGTGTCACCGAAAAAGCCGGCCGCTCTCGACTTTCAAGATTTCTGTGACTTTGGCGTGGTGCCCTGAAGCACGATGCGGGCAATGCGTGGATCATCATGTGAGGTCGGCTTTAGCTGGCATGCCCAAATCTCCAATGATTGCCGGTTTCGACAGCGCACCAGGATACTCGTATGAGTGGAAGCGCGCTAGGTTTTCTTTTCCAACCACGGTGCTTGTTTGGGCTGGGGGGGGGTGGGGGTGGGCACTCCAGAACTACTCCGCGGGACACCTGCGCGATTCTCTGGGGATGCTCAGCGGGACTTTCCTTCTCGGATCTTGGAAGGGAGCTTCTGCTTTGATTCTTTTTGTACGCACTGGAACCTGCTGGCCAGTGACTGAGAGCATACAATTTGCACATCCTGCAAGAAAAGAGCAGCCTTCCAGGGCAAAGTTAGGATGCGACAGGTGGCTTTAGCAGATTTTCGTCGATGTCCTTCAAATTGTACGGCATCCTCAGGCCCACAGCTTGAGCACGCGCTATGCGACATTTGGCAAATGAGATTTAGGTGCAACACGCGTAACACAAGCTAAAACAAAGTGCCCGACAAAGGGTGCCCGACAAAGGGTGCCCGACCCCAACATGCAAAATGCATAAACAATAAAGTGCGCTTGAGGTGGCGCGGGGCGGGGGCTCGCGGTCACGGGGCTCTTCCAGTCCTTGTTTTTAATGTTGAAATCTGCGTCTTTGTTTTGCTCGCCAGCCTTGTCAGTGCGTGCACATGACATGCTTGAGCACACATCCGAGCACGGACGAGCATTTCATGTGAACGCACTCGGCGGACCGACAGCTACAGTGCTTCCACGAAGACCTGGGCCATGGCTCGGCACGAGCGGTGGGACAGCGGCTGGTCCGGCTGGACCGGAAACTGGTGGGGTGAGACAGGCCGGCTTCTCATTCGTGCATGTTCCCTGATGCTGAACCTTCTTGCGTCAGGTGAAGCCTCGGACACCAGCTGGTCCCAAGTTCAGCTCAAGCGATGGGGCCACGATGAAGGCCAGTGTAGGGTTTAGGTTCCTGATCCACTTTCCTGGTCTGGGGGCGGTGGTCCCAGCGTTGTTGTGCGGGGGGGCGGGTGTTGTGACAAGGCCAGTCATGGCACCAAAGACAAGAGCGCCACTTTGAAGGCCGTTTGAGTATTGTTGCGATGCTTTATCGCGCGTTTTTGCCGGGGTTGTTTTGTGTGTGTGCTGATTCAGCCAGGTTCGTGGGCATTGCTGTCTCAGAGCAAGGACTAAATCCCAAACCCTAGACTACGAACCCTTTCTTGCCCAGCTGGACCGTGGGCTACAGGTGCTTGGCACGAGCACCGCAGCGGAAGGTCCTCCTGGCATCAGGATCAAGGCCTCGTAGTACAGACAGTACACATGGCTTGCTTCTCTATAAAAAGTATTTGATAACGCGAGTCCCAAAGCCTCCAGAAAAAATCCAGAAGATGTTAGTGACCTGCAGGAGTTCCACACACTTCCACAACACTCCAGGCGTAGGAGTCATTTGAAAAAGGAGGCCTCCAGGATCCTTTCGGGGCAAAGCCATGCGAATCCGGACATGTCCGGACCGAGACCGAGGAGGTCCCGTCCGCGGAATCGCAAGCAAAAGCAGCAGGAGTCGAGCCCAACAAACGTTCCTAGAAGTGTTCCCCAGCTGCTCATAAAAGGAGGGGTTTCGACGGATACAAAGTTGACATGCAAAGCAAGGTCATTTTTGGTTGTTTGATTGTCGAACATGTGGGCTTGGTTCCAGTTCCGGGGCTTCGCCTTCGTCGCCGCATGTCGCCGCTCTATGCTGCTCTATGGCTGCAGGTTACTGGCACGGGCGCGATGGAAGGGCCTCTTGGCGCCAGGATCAAGGCCGTGCGGGGGTTTGAGTGTAGTGACATCAGGTGACATCTCTGACGATCTTGGCCATGCTTTTGGCAATCATGCGCGGACGCTTGTCATGCAGGAACCCTTTTTGTACAGCCCATGGCAATCGCAGCGCCTGATCGGAGGTGTCTGGCAGAGCTGGAAGGACTGGTCCAGCAAGGAAGACCAAGGCGCCGCGCAGCGTGGGTTCAAGGGGCAGCTTTCACCATGTGGTGAGCTTTTCGTGATGCAACGCTTGCACCTGCAGGTGCCTGGCAACACAACAAAGACTGGCACGTGGAGGGATCCTCGCCAAGCAGCCAGGATGAAGGCCACTTGTTAACTCACACGCTCACATCACGCCGTGCATCGCCAACACAGCAACCAATGCCGCACGTGTGCAGGTTCGAGTAACTCTTATACGCCGGGCGAACAGAAGCCGGTAGGCCGGTGTGTGCTTCTTTAACTGCAGGATGCTGACGTGCGATGCGTGCAACATGTGCCCGTAGGTAGCCCTCGCAAGCCTCGCGCCAAAGTGAAGTCTCGGCTCTTCGCCACCGCTTTGGCAGCCACCGTTCAACCTTCGAGGTTGGTCTGCTCATGCTCCGGTGCATCTGGGATGAAAGCCTCGCTCCTTCAGTCAAGAATCCCCGACCAGGTGCCGTCGGCCACAACCCTTGGAGCAGTCGCCGTCGGAGCCTGTGGTTGAGGAGAAGGAGCTGGCGGAGCAGGCCGAGCCGGTTGCTGAGCCCGTGCAAGCAGTGGAGGTCCAGCCAAAGCGCTGGGCACCCTGCTTCAGAGAGAGCGACGTGACGATGGGATACGGGATGGGTCGTGTGGACCCGTTTTCCGTGGGCTACGCCTGTCGAGACATCCCAGACAGACAGCCCGAGGGTCGCAACGTCAACAAGCCGCTCAACAGGGTCTGGCAAGAGGTGAAGGTGAACCAGTGCGAGGACATCTGCTACCTCGGCTACGAGCACCCCATCGAGGTGTTTCGAGCCGTGTCCGCCGAGGGACAGGAGCAACTGTTCACCACTCAAGGGTGGAAGCTGCAGCTCCTCCAAGTGGCGGCCTTGGCGAGGCACCCCAAGAAGGCCATTATCCAACCCAAGTTTGTCTTGGAGGAAGCGGACATCGGAGCGATTCTGGTCGAAGCCGATATACCCGAGGATTTCAATACGGTGCACATCGTCGGCGAGGATGGCGTCCGGCCTTTCTCCTGGGAGACCATCGTGAAACAAAAGCGCGCGAAGCCAAAGGCTTGACGGCGCAGGCTTCGAACTGCGGAGCGGGTGTCACCGAAAAAGCCGGCCGCTCTCGACTTTCAAGATTTCTGTGACTTTGGCGTGGTGCCCTGAAGCACGATGCGGGCAATGCGTGGATCATCATGTGAGGTCCTTCAGGCTTTAGCTGGCATGCCCAAATCTCCAATGATTGCCGGTTTAGACAGTGCAGCAGGATACTACAGATGAAGGAGATTGGAGCGCGCATGCTTTGGAAACCCATGGGGGGAAAGAAGTTGACATTTTGACATCATAGTACGCGAACGAACCGAGGAGTCTTGATTGGCAGGGGTGATCCTCCAGCAGCATGAAAGTAGGCACACACCGGGATTTGAAACCATGTCGGCCGCCCAAAGGGTCTGCAGCGTGCCCCGAGCATCCTCCAAGGAACGAGTCAAGGCTGGACGGCTGGACCGGAAAGGCCTCTCTACATTGGCATTGGCCATTGGCGCCATCGTGATGCTTGGTAAAAGGAGCTTTTCAGTGAGCGCTTGCGGCGGCCTGTGAGGCTTTGTGAGAAACCAGAAGCTTTGCAGAGAGCCCTCTCTCCCCAGGCCGAACCACGTGTGACCTCATGACCTCGAGCAAAAGTTTGCTTCGATCATCCCCACGTGCAGCTACCTGACGTGAGAGCCATCTTGCTGTCGGACACATACTTGGGTACTTACGGATACTTCGCTGCAGGCTTCTGTCGCGGGACTCTCCGCAGAATTCTCTGGGGGTGCAGTCTAAGATACTCGGTGGGACTTTTGCGGGATGGACCTTCTGCGCTTTTGGTCGTGGGTGCACGTTTCAGGGATTGTCGGCGGGACTCGTGCAGCATTCTCGGGGGGTGGGCGCGCCTGGGGGGACAGGCTACACTCGGCGGCGGGACATTGTGCGGCCGTATGAAAACCCCATAAAGCTCTGTACGGGATTCTGAAATGCACGGCAGGACCTTCTGCGGGCTTCTTCAGGGTAGAACGGCGGGACCTTCTGCGCTTCTTTTGGGGGAGGGGGGGGGTGGGCGCTCCCAGAAATACTCCGTGGGACAGCTGCCTGATTCTCTGGGGATGCTCAGCGGGTCTTTCTTCTCGGAGCACGCCATTCGAGATTCAATGGGAGCTTCTGCTTTAGTTTATCTGTATGCAACTGAGCCTACTGGCCAGTGACTGAGAGAGCATTCAATCTGCACATCCTGAAAGAGACAGAAAAGCCTTCCAGTGCAAAGGCAGGATGCGAAAGCAGTTGTGGCCTCAGCAGATTTTCATCGATGTCCTGAAAATTGTGTTAGAAGGCATCCTCAGGCCCACAGCTTGAGCACGCACTGTGCGATATGTTGCAAATGAGATCTTGGTGCAGCGCGCAGAACACATGCACAAAACATATGCCTGACAAAGGGTGCCCCGACCCCAACACCAACATGCAAAATGCATAGACAAAGTGCGCTTGAAGGGGCGCGGGGCGCGGCCTTACCAGAGAAATGCCAAAATGATGATTTTGTCTTGGCCCCCTGCGTTGACGGACACTAAACTCGAAAGGCCACTACAGTAAGCCTTCGAGACAAGCAGAAGCACGGGCCTCTTCCTGTCCTTGTTGTTGGTACTTCTGCATAAATCTGCGTCTTTGTTTTGCTCGCCAGCTTAGTCAGTGCGTGCACATGACATGCTTGAGCGCACATCCGAGCACGGACGAGCATGTCATTAGAACTCGGCGGACCGACAGCTACAGTGCTTCCACGAAGACCTGGGCCATGGCTCGGCACGAGCGGTGGGACAGCGGCTGGTCCGGCTGGACCGGAAACTGGTGGGGTGAGACAGGCCGGCTTCTCATTCGTGCATGTTCCCTGATGCTGAACCTTCTTGCGTCAGGTGAAGCCTCGGACACCAGCTGGTCCCAAGTTCAGCTCAAGCGATGGGGCCACGATGAAGGCCGGTGTAGGGTTTAGGTTCCTGATCCACTTTCCTGGTCTGGGGGCGGTGGCCCCGGGTGTTCTGACAAGGCGAGTCATGGCACCAAAGACAACAGCGCCACTTTGAAGGCCGTTTGAGCACTGCAGCGACTGCAGCGATGCTTTGTCGCATGTGTTTGCCGGGGTTGTTTTGTGTGTGTGTGTGGGTGGTCGGCTGATTCCGCCAGGTTGGGGGCATTGCTCAGAGCAAGGACCAAACCCCAAACCACCCCAAACCCTAGACGACAAACCCTTTCTTGCCCAGCTCGACCGTGGGCGAAACAGGTGCTTGGCACGAGCACCGCAGCGGAAGGTCCTCCTGGCATCAGGATGTGCAAGTTGAAAGTACCACTCTGGACCAGCAAACCACCCTGTCCTGCCAGGTGGTTGCCAATGCTGCCGATCCTACCAAGACCAGATGGCAGATCCCATGAGGCCCATGAACAGAACCATCGCCTGGCTCGTCCGAGATGTGCGTGATCAAACCTCATACAAGGCGGTCCTAAGCTCCCTCCGCGGGTTGCAGTGGCGGCGCTCACTCCAGGTGCATATAGTTTCAGGGTAGTCCCCAAGGATTGAGAGCCTTGGAGTCTCACATGGAAGTCCAGCCCTTGCATTGCCCGGCCCGAGTTGCGAGCACTTGGGTTCAGATTTTTTTTGTCAGCGTAGGCTTTGAGCATGCCGGACGCGGTGATGACAGAGATGGCAAACGCCACTCTCGCTATGAATCGCTGGGGTGCCCCAAAAAGGACAGCCCCACAGGTGACTTTGTTGCTACTCTTGTGCCAGGGCGGTGTGGTTCTTGCACCGTTCTGGGTCCTCAGCCTTGGTGGCGGTGCAGCCGTCTACCTCCTCCTTGTCATTGCAGCAGTTTTTCTCCTCGCTGGGTTCTGCATGATCTTCGCGGCCGGCAGCAGTCTGTGGCGAATTCGCAAAGTTGCCAGCCAAGCGCCGCCAGCAGCCAGCAGCTCAGCAGCGGCTGTTGCTGATTCTGCCGCAACTCAGCGCCGGCGCCCGTGCCACTTGGTCTGTGTACCGATCTACAAGGAGCCTGACGAGATGATCCTGGCCACCATCGCTCGGCTCAATGAGTCCCACGCCGCCCCGCGCATGCGGGTCGTCTTCGCCATGGAGGCAGCCACAGATCGCCCAGAAGAGCGATTCCAGAGCTATCGGCAGAGCCTCCTCCGTGTACCGGAGGTGTGCTATTACATCCATCCACTGGGCAACACGCCGGGTGAGATCCGCGGCCTCTGCTCCAACCTTGCCTACGCGCTTGCCCAGGATGTGGCGGTGCTGGGGGGGACAGTGGGCAGCTACCTGCTGACCAAGGTAGACTCTCAGGTGCTTCTCCCACAGAACTACTTCACCCAGCTGGAGCACGCCTACATGTGCCGCAAAGATGCAGAGACGCGGAAGGCTGGAGAGCTTTCGCCCGTGGTTTGGCAACCGCAGCTAGTAAGTTTCTTGAACCGCGAGTTCAGCCATGGTCCTTTGCGGGCTTGCGGGGCCATGCGGAGCTTCGCCTACCCTGGCTTCTTCGACCTCAGCATTTGCACGGTCACTTGCTACAGCTTGCCCCTCCTCCAATATGTGCAAATGGGCCTTCATCATCCGTCCTACATGGGCGAAGATTGGATGGTGCTGGCACAGAGCGCTGTGTCGTCTCGCGGCCATGCCCTTGTCGTACTGCTCCCGGTGCTGGTGGCTGTGGCACCACCCCTGGACTCAACATTTTGCGGAGCTGTGAATGAAGGGACCAAGCAGTGCATCCGATGGGCTGCGCAGTCTATGGAGGTCGCTGAGTTCCGGTGGAGGTTTCGTCCGCCGGGGGGGACCTTGGCCAGTCTTTGGTGGATGTTCAAGTACTGTGTTGTCCGGGTTCTCTTTGCGAACGGCCTTGGGCTTTTTGCCCTTTGCACGTCGATCGCCGTGGCCCTCTTTGGCCCGGACTTGTCTGACGACCAGCTCCTCTTGGTGTCTCTTCTGGACAAGGTGCTCCTCAGCATGGTGGTGGCTATGATCCTTGTGATGCCCCTCTATGAGCAGTATCTCTCCGCTCTGCAGCAAGATCCGCAGTTGAAGGCTCCCATTCACCAGCTGCCTGTAACAATCCTCTCCACACCGGTGTGGCTGGGTTTCCAGATGGTGGTGGATTACTGTTCCTGGTGGAAGCTTCTCCTGCAAGGGAAGGAAGCGATCACATTGACCCACCGAAAGAAAGCGGTTGCAACGAATGTGCAGGCTGCCTTAGAACACGAGGCCGCGGCACAGGAATCCGAATCGGATGTTGTCGTTAGTGTCTGACCCCAAGGGCAACCCCGACCACAGCAGAAAGAGGTTTCACCTGGTCCTTCGTCACTCAATATATCGCCCGAGAGGAACATGTCCGCCATGCAGGCCCTGAACTTTCTCAACCCCAGCTCAACCCCTAAAATCCCTAAACCCTGAAGCCCTAAACGTTTCCAAGACTTGAAAGGTGCTACGCCAGCTGGGCCCCGCAAGCCTGCAGCCCGTGCTTATCTTGCAGCTTGGCCTGAGGATTGGTAAGGGTTCAGGGCAGGGTTAGGGTAGTTTAGGCCCGTTTAGGCTCGAGGCTTGGGACCTTATTGAGGCGAGGCGACTTTTCGATCGAGGTGTATTAGTGAGAGAAGCAAGTGGAGCTCCAAGTGTGGACACGTGCAATCATGCCTGTGACATCGCAGGCTCCGAAGTAATGCAACAAGTTGTTGGGGTTCTTGCCTACGGAGCATGGACACACTCCATCAGTTGCAGGCCTAGAAGGCTGAGGAATTCTAGGCTTATCAAACATATATAGGAACAACATGGAACACCTCCGTATATCATCAACACCCTCAAGCCAGGAACCAGACCTCTGGAACTGAAGCAGAATGCCGCGATCAGCACGTGTGA